TGCACAATTTTGGTCCGCCTAGAAGAGCTACTCTGACGCAAGAGAATAGAGTGAGCCACGGTGTGATGGGGACACCAAGCTCTAGGCTGGATGTGCTCAGCTGTTTCAGGACAGAGTAACTTGAACAATTGTACCTTGGCAAAATTACATTGTGTGTGTGTGTGTGTGTGTGTCTTGGGCCATGAGGTCCCTATGATAACTAAGTCACAGTTCTTAGGTTTACACATAGATGACAATATCTCACATACCAGGTAGTCATGGGGGTCACTATGCATGAGACAGAGCCAAGAAAACTGGGAGAAATGTGAAGTTCCATGTGTGAAGGCCTAGTAAGACGTGAAAACACGACTCTCACACTCGGGTACACAGGCCTGCCCATCACTGGAGGACAACAGAACAGAGCATTTGTCTACCCACTCGACACTGACGCACAGGGGTTGCCTGTGGAGATTTCACAGTACAACTGTCAGTTCCGTAACACAGAGAGGACCCTTCCATCACTAGCAGGACACCAGAGCTTAACTTGTGGGGCAGCCAGGGTAAGAACGGGGCAGCTGTATGCTCACAGGACTCTACTCCTAAGCAAAATCGTGTCATGAGACGAGACAGTGGGCAGTACCATCTTAACGTTACACACAAAAAATTGATGCAGCCCGACTCCCATAAAGACACAGAACAGACCAGCAGGACACAGCATACGGTAATAACGGCTACCTCTGCACTGTGGGGTGCTCAACCTGGGTTCTGTTGAAGTTACTTCTCTGATGAAACTGTAGGAGAACCCACCCAGTCACCATCATGGGGACCCCACAAATTCTGTAAACAGCAGGAAAAGAGATTAATTCTATCCAATTAAGAAAGTTCCAGAAGATTACAGGAAACTTAATTCTTCTAAAGTTACAAATAACAAAATATATGCTTTGAAAAATTAGTTTGGATAAGGTTTTTTTAGTATGACATTGGCCTGCGAGACCCTCAGGGTGCGGTGTGACAGGCACAGAGGGAGAAAATGACTTTTTCACTGCCCTGCTTTTCATATTGATAAAAGAGTCAGACATGTTGACAAGTTATTAAAAACGAGGAAGCAAATGAAAGAGGCACACTGTGAGCCAAAGATTAGGATTAGCCCAGGCTGTGCACCAAGTTTCAACAGGGAGCAGCGGGCATTTATGGAGTGTCACAGCACCTTCCTGACAACTTTTAAACCGTCAACTTCATTCTGTTTCTACAGTAGAGCCTGAGCTTCCCAGGGTTTGACACACGACTACGAAAGCCTGGCACTGGGGAAACGGGAGCAACTGCCCGCCATCACTCCTAGCACGAGAAGGCCATCTGTGTCAACAGATCGAGCCTAGGCATGAGCAGCTGAAGAAAACTGAGAAGCCACTGACTCCAGGCAACTTACAGTTATAGTCAGACTTACACAGTTTAAGTCCTTGTACATCACATACATCTTGGTTTTAACACAAGAGGAAAATAAGGCAATAGACACGACAGGACTGGCAGCCGACCCTCCCAGCTACACACACTGCAGGGTCCTCTCACCAGAGACCGTGGGGAAATGCGGGCAGTGGGTCAAGTGATAAACTCTCGGACTACTGACGATAATTACAGAAATGCAGATTAAGACAGGCACTTTTAGGGTCTGAGGATGAGGCTCAGTGGTAGAGTACTTGCCTAGTGTTTGTTTTGTTTAAAAATTAACAACCAGCAGCAGCATACACCTTTAATCCCAGCACTTGGGAGGCAGAGGCAGACGGATCTCTGTGAGTTCAAGGCCAGCCTGGTCAACAGAGTGAGTTCCAGGACAGGCTCCATAGCTACTGAGAAACCCTGTCTCAAACAAACAAACACCAACCAAAGGAATACAGACTTTTCCATGTTGAACTTAGCAATGATTTCTTAAATATGACACCATAGACGCAGGCAACAAAACCTAACACACATTAAAAATTTCAAAACTTAAAACTTTGACCGAGAAGATGGTTCAGCAGGAAGGGCTGCCAAGCTGCCAACCCTGAAGGACAATTGAGTTCAAGCCTCAGATCCACAGGGTGGAAGGACAGAATCTACTCCACGTTGTCCTCTGACCTTCAGGAATGCTGGCACAGGCACACCTATGAGCAAATTCACACACATACAATACACGAAACTACGAAAAAAAAACCTCAACAGAACAGAACGAAAGGCAACTTTATGGAATGGGGAAAATTATCAGCCAAATCATATAAGAGTTAAAATTCAGAATACAGACAATCCTGCAGGTCAACAATGGTAATAACCCACAGCCTTTTAAACATGACAAGGACCTGAATGGCATTTTCCCAAGAAGTCTACATGATCAATAAGTACATGGAATGGAAGACAACAACGAGATGTCACCTGACATCCACCAGGATGGTTGTGCTGTATCCTAAAGAGGAAATGGTCTCAGAAAGATGTATCTGTGCACCATCCCCAGTGCAGTGAAGTCCTAACGGCAACAGGCCCAGGGTAGGAGCAAGGCCAAGTATGGAAGCAAAGAAAATCACACACCAAGATGAACTGCACAGATACTGTGTGATCAAAACAACCAGTCAAGATACATACTGGGAGGCAGAAACAACCAGGAGGGAACCGGCTCCTGCTGACTGTCCTCTGACCTCCACACATGTGCCTACACACTGAAGATAAATGTAATAAAAGATAAACACTGGGTGGCTCCACATACATGTGGGACCCAGAACTGTCAAAGAAACAAAGCGGAAAGGGACTGGAAAGAGAGCCCACCTGGCGGGTAGTTTCAGGTTTTGCAAGGACTGGAGGTCAGTTGATCAATTTAATCTGTGTAACACACTAAACTGTACACTTACACCGTTTGTATCACACCACAAAAATGTTAAAAAGTAACAAGCAATGGATCAATCCACTGAAATAACCTCCTGATGAGAGCCGTGAGAGCAAGTGATGCACACAGAGGAAGCTGGGTTCATAAGGCACCCATGCACACTAGCCAGTCACGCCACTCGGCATACACACACACACACACACACACACACACACCAACTTCACAGAAAGTAACTCAAAAAATCCCTCTGGACAGTAACGGAGCAATACAAACTGGTTAGGACTGGCAGTCATTTCCTTCTAGAAACTGACCTGGGTATCTCAGATTGGATAAAGCTTGGGCTCCAACGCCAACCATTTCCTAAAGGAAAATATCTGAAGGCAGAGGGGTGAGCCTGCCCAGGGAAAGCGACTGCTGTGCTAGTGGCAACCAACTCCTGAAAGTCATCCTCTGACCTCCCCTCATTCACCAACGTTTAGATGAGGTCGCTTACGTCCAGTCAGGCAATGGAGCATTCGGTGCTTTGGTCATCAAGACAAGGCTTTCACTATGCATCACAGAAGACACGCTGCAGGACAGGATTTAAGTACAATCCAACTTTTTGTGTAAAGTGCACATATAGCTGATGCCCAGGAAAAGAAAAATCCAAAACAAATGCCAGTAACGCTTGTTAATAGAACATAAATGAGCTTTTCCCCATATGCAAGATTTACAGTAAATCCTCTTCATCCTTGAGCAGTATGCGAAGAGAGATGTGAGGGCATTCTGTCCAAGGGAGGGCCCAGGAACCCATGGGAATATCTTTCTTGTTTTGGTTATTAGTTTTCTTTTCCTTGACAATCCCAGTTTACAACCATATTGAGATGAATATACAAATATTAGATATTTGGAAGAACCCACATTCCTTCCTTCAGTAACAGCAGCTAAGACATGGACACCACCAGGGACTAATGCTTCTGCAGCCCATGGCAATGACCACAGGTCTCTTACAATCATAAGACAAACTGAACGGCAGGTGTCAGGTCTTTCTGTAACAGGCCACATCTGAAGTCACTGTGTAGAAAAAAAACCCAACACAACCTTTGCTTTTCATTCATACAGGATCAGCCTCAGAACTACTGAACCCCAGGTCAACTGCTTCCTCTGGGAGTTCAAAGAACAAGCCTATACCCAGACTTATCTGGGCACCCAATAACCCAAGACCCCAGGGCAAAGACCAGTCTTGTAGGATAGTGTGGCTCATGTCTGCATCTCCAACATTTGGAAGGCTGAGGAAGATTGCAGAGTTTCATACCAACCTGGGCTCTCAGATAACAAAATTCAAACCAACAGCCCTCCAAGTCTGCACACTGGATAGCTCAGCCTGAGGTTATCCTGTCTCTATACCTCTTCTGATTAGCTGGGGATGAAAGCCTTACCAGCCCACTGCCACAGAACACAGAGAACCATTTAACGGTCTAAAAACCAGAGTTCTGGAAAGGGGATGGAGGTGTAGAAACCAGGTAAGAAGCCAGAAGAGGCTAGGACAGACCAGCCTAGAAAGGGTGGAGAGACCAGGAGAAGGAGTTATCCTGTGTTTGGTCCTCACCCCACTCCAGTTCAAGACTCATCCTTACATAGACAACAGTTCACTGTAGCCACCAGGTTCCAGTCCTACATGGTAATGTCCTAAGCTCAAAATCTGCCTGAGCCATTTCCAGTTGTAGTGAGACTCCATAGGCCTATTCATGTATACAGGCTGGCTCCTATTTTCAATGTTTACAGGTAAGACACACTCCCTGGATTCCAAAGGCTTCTGCCCACACCCTTCCCACGGTGACTGTAGTCACGTACCTGAAGATAAATGAAGTCCAACTCCCCAGGCAGATGGGATTTATAAACTGCCCAAATCAAGCCCACACCAGCTTCCAAGAGTGAAGATGTGAAATACCTTTTAAAATACAACCTGGAAATGCTCTGGATCGTGTTCAGAACACTCCCTTACCAGTGCCCAACAGTGAGCAGCCCCTCCCTCCCAGCTGGCAGGCTGCTCAGACCAGTTCTCCCAGGGGGAAGGTGACCTGTTCTCCCTGGCTCCATCACAGAGCTCTAAGTCTAGGCCTGGAACTCTGTGCAGACAGAAACTTCGTTATGCAGAGCAACAGAGGTCGAGAATGTAACAGTGACACAAGGATTCTAAGGTGTTTCAATCTCAAACCTTTATTTTGCTGGAAAGGAGAAAGATGATTAGAACAAAGAGGTGCTGTGACCGCCGCTACAGCTCCCCCATTTCCCATTCCAAGGTGACCAACACTCTGCTGTCCCAGTGTCATTCCCTGGTCACACCATGACTTTAAAACACAAATAAAACGCAGCACACAAATAACCAACCCGAAGACAGTCCCGAGGTAACAGGATTGGGAAAAGACAACACAAAAAGCCACACTGCCACTTTACACCCAGGTTTTCAATGTGTACAGACCATTATCTAAGTAAGACGTCCCTTGCAACCCCCAGTTTGACCTTTATTTCCCCAAACTCATTTGACAGTTACAGTTTCCCCTCTGCTCAGGATGGCTGGGAACACCATTCAAGCTAAACACACCATGTTTTCATCGCAGCCTTGGCAAAGATACGCAGATCAAATTTCCTACCAAATGTCACAGTAATTTCACAGCACGTGCAAGCCCATGTTCCCTGTCACAATGACTGATTTGTTAGTCAAGTAAGCAACACCTGTTGTCTCCTGGCCACTCCCAGAAATTCAGTATGTTTCATAAGGCATGGATTGCACATTAAATTCCTGTAGTGTTGTATAAGGCATGACTTGCAAATTAAATTCCTTTAGTGTTGTATAAGGCATGACTTGCAAATTAAATCCTTTAGATATAATAGCATTAGAATTTAACCACACAGTATGAAAGGATTTGAATCATAAACCCAGCAGAATCTGTCAACCTCCAGCACAAAGGCCAATGCCTTTAAGAGCCCACAATGTAGGAATTCACAAACCCTCTCCACAGGCTGGCATGTGCTTGGGCATTCTTGAGTTTGATACCATCTTCCACTCAACAGCAGAGCAAATCAATTTTGCTTTTCCTCCTGATTCTGATATTTTCCAAGCAACCGTTACTGCCCCTCAATTCACCCACAGTAAGGATTTACCAGCGACTTTCAGTGTGAGCTATGGTTCCCCAGTCATCACTCCCATCAAGCCACATCCCTTGCTAGCACCCCAATCCCTCACCAAGCTTCTGGCCAAGACACCAATGCCAAGCTGAGTCCTGCTCCCTCCAGCAATCCCACCTCTGAAGCCTGCCTGATCCAGTAAAACTTTAAAAAGCTCGGCTGAAAGTTTTAGATGACACCCCTAATCCCAGCGGTGTTGAGAGCCAAGGCCAGCCTGGTGTAGACTGCCAGGCCCCAAGTCAGAAATGAAAAGGAGCAATAACAGTTGCCACTCAGTAGGTAGCACCTGCTTATCACCCAGTACCAAAACCAAACCCACAGAATATATTCCCAGATGCCATCCCAATGCCCAAAGTAGACATGCCATATACATATCCCAACAGAACTTGCAGCCAACTTGTACCCTCCCATACTCTTTAAACACGACACCCCCATTCGTTTTAATAATCAGCTAATACTCTTCCATTCGAAATTGAACAGCTTTCCCCAATACCCAAAGTTTATCACACTTAAGAAGGCCTCTGACCAATGCAGAGGTTCACAGGCTGCAGAAGCAGGGAAGGTGGGCGGGGTCACCGGGCTCCTCCTGCAAACACCATCTACAAGGCACCTGGACGCGTTGAGGGCATCAAAGTTAAAAGTGTTCTACACCTTAAGCAATCTTCTCGAAGCCAAGTTCGTAGCACAGAATTAAAGACTGGAGCCTTGATTTAGAAGATGCAGCAGCTAAATGCCTCTACCCCCAGGAAGGAGGGTGCTGGCTGGCATTCACGCATCCGGAGAATGATGCTCCCAGAACAAGACATTCATCCGGAACATTCATAGGCGACAGCCCCTCCAGCTGGAAGGGTCTGCCTGTCCCCACCCCCAAAGGCTGAACCACTTAAGATGAAGGCCTTCCAAACACAGGACTTCCTGAGTAAGGCCTGGACACATGGCAGTGCAGGACTCCTAAGCTCTGGAATTCACTGTGGGCATCAGCTTAGGTCGCTGTCTCCTCCAGGGTCTGCCCTCCTGCACTGCAGGGGTTCCATTTCTCCTGGTGCCATCTGCTTGCCATGATGAACACTACAGTAATAAACCACGTCCGTGAGGCATTCATTTGGGTGACCAAAACCATGGCTGTGATCCCATCCTCCCCTCCCAAGTCAGGGTGTCCTCCACTTTCCCCAGTAGTACCAAAATACCGAGTCCAAGTCGCCAACACCGACTCACTACCTTCCCCAGGCTTACCAGATGACCGAGAGACAAGGTTAAGGGAACCTGTAACCTCAGAGTTAGAGGGAGAAGGGAAGGAGGGAGTTCACAGAAGAGAGAGCCAGGGAACCTAGGGAAAGTCCAGAGGGAAACTGCCACCTGAAAGATAAAGCTGTGGTCAACGTTGCCCCACCTAACAGATCTTAAAAACAACTCCTCAGGCCACCCCTCGCACCCAGAACTAGGTGCTATGAGGCCAAGCCCAAATTACATACCACCCGGAGCCAGAACTCTCAGCCCCGTGAAGCTGAGTCCACGGTCCAGAGGACGGGCCTCATCCCCAGGCGGGTTCACAACCCCTATCTGGAAAAAAAGGGTCTGCTGCCATTGTCAAGTTCAAAGCTGACCCCCACGCCTATCTTCAGGAGATCCAGGGCCTCAAGGGCCCGAGTCCACCTGTCTACATCTCCTGCTCTGCCACTAGAGCTAGAACACTGGGTCCATGTAGGCCCCTGTGAGAGTTGTGACCTCCTGGAGATCAGGTTCCCCCACTGCTACAGACGGCAGGGCCAGTCTGGTCTTGCAGGATGTTGCCCCTGTGTGGATTGTTGAAGGCGCTTTGGAAGCTGCCGTCCACACAACCACTGTCCCCAAATCTAGTCTCTTTAATGGTAAATTTTCCTTCTCCCACCCCCATGCTAGTGTCTGCCTCTAGCTCTGCCATCTCTCTCATCTGAGCCCTGAACTAGCCACTTCCTCCCCGCTGCTAAGACCAGATGGCAGCCCTCCTTGTCACTAACTCCTGCTGACGAGGGCCACAACTTTTGCTTTTATAGCCTTGGGTCGCGTTACCCGGTCATTGCTCAACGGAACGATTCCTCCACGGACACTTAAAAAAAAAAGTCCCCCCCCCCACACCTAGTCAGAGGAGCCCACGAGGGGCGGGTCATGGCCTCCATCGACGGCCACTCCCTCTGATTGTTCCATGATCCTTTCCTGAGCAGTGCGTCACGGGATGGAGGACGTGTGTGAAGATATTCGGGAGGGGACTGCATCAGGGACAGGTCTCCTTTGCTGCCCACCCCAAGGCAGGCCTGACTGCTGCCAGAGGGTCGCATAGGCGGGGGCCACACTGGCTGGCAGGGCAGAAGGAAAAATACAGGTCACCTCAGGTCACCACGCCCCGCAGAGGCCCGAAAGAAGATCCGGCAGAGTGCCTGGAAAATTCCACTGGGTGGCGGAGGGATCTCTGCGGTGGCGTGGGGACGGGGCGGGGCCTGGGCGCGTGACTCCTCGGGCGTTGTCACCTCTTGCTCAGCCGGTGACGGTGACGTCAGCGCAGGCGCCAGCAGGGCGGGAGTGGGGGGTGGGAGGAGGAACTAGCCCAGCAGCTAGGTTGGGTGCTTAATTTGCCTCTGAGGTAGTAATTGTATGGGGGGGAGGGAAAGGAGGTTGCGAGCTGCGGTAAAAGCAGGGGTTTTGTACGGAACACACACAGAATGAGCGTGTGTTTATAATGTGTCTGATTGCAGGACATTCCGCAAATCATCTTCCTTTGGGTGTGGGATGGTGAGAAAAATTATTTTTTAAGCTGCATTCTGCGACAGTTTATGGCCTGTGGTGGAGTCCAGGCAGTGGGTTTGAAGACCACAGTGGGTGCAGGCTGGTTGTCCACTTGGGGTGGGGCCCAGCCCAGGTTCAAAAGCAGACCTTGCCCGCAAACCTTAGCGCCTTTCCCAAAGCTGAGCAGGGAGAGATGGGGGTTTAGTGAGGCTTTTGAAAAAGGGAATTGTCACCTCCCGTGCCAGTGAGGGGCACCTGACACAGCCTGAGCCATCTCCTCGGCTCTGGTGTCCCCTACTCCCCCCCCCCCCCAAAAAAAAACTGGAAGGACAATTCAAGTAAACCGAAAAAAAAAAGGCAGTTGGCAGAATAACTGCCCGGAAGTCTCCTCCCAGGCTCACCACCCACGCTACAAACAAAACCACCCTGTGACAACAGGCTGGAAAACCAGGGCGGAGAATGTTCTGCCTCCGGCAGATGGAATCCGCCGGCGTGGCTGGGCCTAGACTGCACTCCCTGTTCCCGGAAAACCTGTGACCCTCACATGACCAGCAGCACAGAGGGAGATTATGTGGCAAGTGCTGGCTTGTAACGTCTCCTGGGCCTGCTGAGCCTGCTCCGCGCCACCAGAGCCCTTCCCCAAGGACTTTCCTATCAGTCTTTTATTGATTTATTCCCCCCCTTTTTTCTTAATTTCAGACATTGTTGCCTATACTAGCCTGGAAATCACAACAATCCTCCTGCCTCAACCTTTCCAGTGCTGCAACTTTCCCACCATGTCTGCCTTTGTCTCCTCTGCTTCATCCTGGCAGCATTTCCAGGCGTGGGTGATGGGGGGTGGCGACTGCCTTAAAGAACAGGGAGTTGCTTGACAAAGTGTTCTAGAAAGCTGGGAGGCGGTTGGAAACCAGTGGGAGAGGCTTCCCCGCGGCTTTGCAGGCCCAGGCTGTGGGACAGCTCTTTCTGTCTCTGAGGTGATTTGTTCAGCCATTTCCAGAGCCCACGATGCCTTCTTTACCTCTGGTCTCTAAATGTCCCTCACACACTCCATCCCAGGAACAATCTTTAAGACTTATTTTTGAATGTGTAGCCTAGGACTAATTGGTGTCACAAACCAGGGTTATAAACGCCCGGTTGCTTGGCCACAAATAAACAGGAGAGGTCCAGCGACTATCCCCAGTCCCCAAGGGCAGTGGCAGGTTCAGGGGCTCCTGGTCTACAAGGACAGTTTTTCTTGGGACGAGAATGTATTTGAGGGCTTCGAAGAGGTGAGGGGGCCTTGGGAGCCAGGGCTGTGACCATTCTTTCTTAGTGGGACAGCTAGGGTTCTGCGAGAAGGACAAGGGCGGGGCAGCCACCGCAGCAGCCAGCCAATTTCCCCAGGTGAAAACAGGCTGTTCTGGAGACTGTGGTAAACAAGCCTGTGGGTGGGGTTGAGTGGTGCCCGCCTTGCTGAGTCCGCCCTATTTCTGCGGGTGGCTTTACCAAGGGCCTTCCCAGCCAGCTACGGGAATTCTGGGTTAGAGGGGAAGGAGCAAAAAGGGGTTCTTTTCGTGACACCCAAGCCTTTCTCAAGGCTATGGCAGTCCCCACTGGCCTATTTCTTCTTCGGAAGTCAGCTTAGCCCTTTTGATTGCAAACACAGGCACAACTCAGGGAAGGGACGCGGGATTTTCTACAAAAAGTTTTGGACTAGTGGGAAAGAACCAAGCAGTTCCAGGTGTGCCCCAAAGGCCAGGCCAGCACCGCTGTCCCCACAGGGGTATTCCGGAACTCCAGCTGCCCGACCGCCCCCCCCCCCCCTCATCCTCCAGGGATTCAGTTCCTGGGCTGTAGCCTCCGGTTCCCTTGGACTTTTCCTGGTGCCAGAGACCTCCTCAGCCTGGGCTTTTTCACACGGAGCCCTGAACCGTGTCTGCGGATCAGGAAACTGCACGGTCACCGTGTGCTGGCAGGAAGCCTGCCTCACCGATCTCCTGGCCTTGGCAGCTGCCTGAGCAAAGGACCTAGGCTCTGTCTCCTGTGTGACTGGGCGGTGGGGTCGGGCTCGGCTCCCCCCATATTCCACACACCCGGAAGCACATTGTTTTTATGGAAACAGGTCTCACCCAGTGTCACCCTGTCCACCTTTATCCTCCACTCGCGCAGGCCAGGGCCACAAAATCACCTCTCAGGGAGCCTCTTGGCCCTAGCTCTAAATCCGTCCCCCTTGAACTTGACCTGTGGGGGAGGGGTTTCTGCCCTATGTACTCTAGATCGCTGAGCCCACAGGAGCTCTGGCAGGAGGTAGTTCCCAAGTGGGTGACTTCACAGTTTGTTCTCTAAAGGTCACTCTGGGGCCTGTGAGGCTCTTGGTAAATATTTGTTGACTGACTCAAACAAGGACATCAGGTCAGTTGAGCCCCATGATGTGGCAGGCCCTGCTGGTCCGGAGCTCAAAGACTGGGGTGACTTTGGGAGAGGGGCGCTTTGAGGATCAAATGTAAGCAGAAGGGATTTGAGGGAGTGGTCACTGGAGGTCGAGGGGTTGGGTTCTTGGTTCTGTTGTTCAGGTTTGCAAGGCAAGGGAGACCCTCCTGCTTGGTTCCTGTTTTCTTGGTCCCCTCAGATCTAAAGGCAGGAAGGAGGGAAGGGGTCCTCAGACAGCAGGAGGGTGCTCAGGTGTGGGACCCTGCCTTTCCTGGGCATGTGGGGCTCTGTGGACTCCTCATCACAGAAGCCCTTGCCAGCCTCGGGGGTTGGCACCGCCTTCAGCTAGGCTTCCTGCCATGACTTGCAGAAAGTAACTTAGATGATGTCAGCCCCAGACACTCAGAGCTCTTTGAACTGTGTTCCTGGCCCGTCCCACGTACATTCCTACAATCCCGAGCACTTAAACCTGGCTTCCTGCTAGGTTCTTGGGCTCCAGGCCTCTTGGTACTCCCTTCCTGAGCCTTTTTCCGCTACCTTTCTGTCACTGGGTCCTCCTTTCTCAGCCCCTCCAGATGGAATCGGGGGACCCAGTCCATAGGCTTTGTACCCTGGGCCTCCAGTAACTTCCCCCACCCTCCATGGCCCTCCAGTGTTTACCTCCTGGCTTTCTTAGGTTCCTCAGTTTGCCTTGTGTACCCTCTCCCAGCCTCCTCCCCAAGTCCACACCCCATAAACCCTGGCAGTAAGTTCCTCTGGGGCCATCTGCTGTCTCGCCCTTCCTTCCTCCTTCTCCTGGACCAGCTGCGTGCCGCAGGTCACTCTAAGATGGGAATGGTCTCAGCCCAGGATGTGCTTGCTACCATAGGGACCACAGGCACAGACACAGGTACACTAGACTGTCCGTGAGCCTTCTGCAACCCTGCTTTGGTCTGAGTGTCACCCGTGAACAGTCTCAGAGCCAGGGCTTCCACCAGCTGCACAGCAGGCAGAGAAAATCCTTCTGCTCATCTTGAGATGTATAGGAGGCCTGTAGTCACTGGCGGAGGCTGTCAGTTGTCCTCACTGACACCACCTCCCAAATGGCAGGTGAGGAGACAGAGACGTCCTAGCGTTGGGACTTTAGTCTATTGTAAATCATATTTATGTAAAATAATTTAAATTTGGGATCAAGGGAATTTCTCAGTAGTAGAATGCCTACCAGGATTCACAAGGCCCTCCATTTGACCCCTGGCCTTAGTAAGAAGTGAAACAGCTGGAGGGCTCAGTGAGCGGGGCTGAGTGATCAGGGCTGGGGCGTGGAGAGGCCTCCTGACTTACAGGGCTGAGGCCGGGAAACTGGAAGGTGAGGAGTGGGTGGGTGGGCAGTGACCTGAGCCAGCAGCTCCTGTGGGAACGGGGTGGAGCATAGGGTAGGTGATTATCCCCGGGGTCTGCTCACCTCTGGATTTCCCCAAACAGTCCTATTGGCTTTACATATTTGACTGAGTTCTCATTGTACAGAAAAGCAAGCAGGTTCCAGAGCAGAATCCATTGCAAGGTCCTGGATGCTGGGGTTGTGGATGCCTGGGTTCTAGAGAGGGCCAGGCAAAAATCATGGCAGGCCCCTAATAACTCAGTTAAGAACTAGGCCTCGGTTCTTAAACTTACTAGGCCTGGGCGAAGCTCCATCACACACACACACACACACACACACACACACACACACGTGATAACAAGTAAGGACTTGTCCAGATTTGCCCAAGAATGGAAAAGCCATAGCCTTGGCCCACCTCTGCTAGCCCTGTCCAGTTAGAAATGTGCTAATATGATTGGCACTCGTGTAAGC